GCGGACCCCCGCAGCTGTGCCCCAACATGGCCCGGTCTGTCACAGTGGCGTAGTCCAGTATCCTGCCGACTACCAGACTGGTGACCTCTCCAAACAGGCCGCAAACCAGTCCCACAGAGCGATTCAGTAGCCTGCCTGAAGCCTCACAAGCAAAACCCCTCTGACACCCCAGCAATATCCGTGCCCCAGATGGCCCGACCACACTCACGGGCTCCACCCCAGGGCCCTAAGGACTTGGACCACACCAAGGTCCAACTCCGGCTGGTGGGGCTGCTGCCTCAACTCACTACCCACGGGCATTGATTCTCGCCCTGCCCTGGGCTACTTTAGCCTGCCTGAAGCCTCACAAGCAAAACCCCTCTGACACCCCAGCAATATCCGTGCCCCAGATGGCCCGACCACACTCACGGGCTCCACCCCAGGGCCCTAAGGACTTGGACCACACCAAGGTCCAACTCCGGCTGGTGGGGCTGCTGCCTCAACTCACTACCCACGGGCATTGATTCTCGCCCTGCCCTGGGCTACTTCCTCTCTCCTCCCTCCCCGAACACCGCACATTGGGTTGGTCGCCTACCAGTCACGGCCTGGATCTCCCCTCTGGCCGTAGCTGCTGCTCACCCCCTCCCGTTGCTCCAGGGGCTGGAGCAGCGGGGATCGCCGGGCCTCCTCAGCTCCAGCATCAGATGCTCCTCTCCCCTCCCCTCAGGCTCTGGGCCAGGTGGCGTTTAAATCGCCCGCTGCTTCCGGCGACGGGCGTGACATCAGCCGGATGTCATTGGTGTTAAACCGCCCCGTCCTGCGACACAATGTGGATCCCGGCATCTCCGATGCCATATCCGCGGGTGTCAGCTGAGCCGCAGCCCCACAGCATTGGGCACTCAGCTGGCACGGGCTCCCCTGTAGCCCCAGAAGGGCGCTTGCCATGGGGGCTCCCATACGGGGTCGTTGTGCCCTGTCACAACAGCCTTGGAGTGTGAAGAAGCAAGCGTGCTGTTACAAATAAGACAGCCTTGAAATAACACTGGGAAGGAGACACCCACATCGTGATGTCAGAATAAAGAATATCGCCCGGACATTGAGCAGAACTGATGGTGATTGATTAAGAGTTGACGAAGCAAAATGCATAGCCTTGAATAGGAGAACAGTCCTATCAGAGATGGAGCGTCTTGCATGAATCTCCAGGTCTTGTCTTGTCAACATCGGAGTGTCGGTCCGGACCGAGAGAAACCCCCACACCTCCCCCTCACATTGAACTTGCCTGGCCAGTGAGTTAATGTGAGCAACAGACTGGTAACGTTAAGCAGCGACAAGACGTTGTGTGTGTGCAGGGGTTTGTCTTTCTGAAGCAGACGCTCACTGGTTTTCTACTCTTCAGGGGTAGCCGGTCCCATCTCCGTGTGTTGTTAGTCTTTAAAGCGCTGCCAGACTATGTGTTGGTTTTTATGCTTTTCTAGGATATTGGCAATAAAAGTGGCGTGTTGCCTTTTCCCCTGAGACAGACCCCGGGAGCCTCTAAGGATAACACCAGGGTTTCTCAAAAATCCAAAAGCGGGCGTGATGCCGAAAAGTTTGCTGCTCTAGGCTTTGTGCTACAGGGAACCTTTCCTGGGACCCCACTCTCTGCCCCTGTCCGTAGAGTCATAGAATCCCAGGGCTGGAAGAGACCTCCGGAGTCATCTCGCCCTACCCCCTGCTCAGAGCAGGACCCACCCCAACCAAATCACCCCTGGCAGGGCTTCTTCCAGCCGGGACTTAACGTTTTCTACGATTCTCCCCACCCCCCTCGGTAACCCATCCCAGTGCCTCGCCCCCTCCTAGTGGAATTGTGGTTTCTAGTAGCCATCCTAGACTCTTTCTGAAGCAGACGCTCACTGGTTTTCTACTCTTCAGGGGTAGCCGGTCCCATCTCCGTGTGTTGTTAGTCTTTAAAGCTCTGCCAGACTATGTGTTGGTTTTTATGCTTTTCTAGGGTATTGGCAATAAAAGTGGCGTGTTGCCTTTTCCCCTGAGACAGATCCCGCGAGCCTCTAAGGATAACACCAGGGTTTCTCAAAAATCAAAAAGCAAAGCACAGACACTGGCTGGCGGCTGAGGCCAAAGGTTCCAGGGCACAACCTGTGTCGGGATCCAGCCCTAGGGCAGCAAACGTGCAGGGGGGAAGGTTTGCAGGGAGCCCAGCAGCACAGAGCCTGTGCAGAGAGGCAGCTTGCTGCTCACTGAGGACTTCAGCATGTGCCTGTACACTGAGCATAGGGTTGCCAGATGGTTTAACCAAAAATACTGACCCCCCCCCAAAAAAAATACAAGGAAAAAAATTCTGTTGAGAAAAAAACACGGGGGAGACCAATATTGTTGAGAAAAAAAAAAGGACCCTGAGAGTTATTATATATATAAAAAAAAAAACAGCATGGCCCCTTTAAGAAAAGCCTTTGAGATATTTTGCCGGCAGCCATATTGTTTTCCTGATCCGAGCCAGAAGGCAGCTCCGCTGTGGAACCAGGTGAGCGGGGTGTCCGGGGGCTCCAGGACGGGGGAGAGGGGGTTGCTGAGTGTGAGTAGGGGTGCCAGGTGTTTGGTATTTTCGCCTCCTGGCAGGGGAAAAAAAATCAGAAAATACCGGATATTTTAGGTGTCCAGTATTTTCTGAATTTTTTTTACTGAACAGGAGGCAAAAATACCGGACTGTCCGGGTCAATACCAGACACCTGGCAACCCTAATTGAGCGGCACCCTGCACTCGGAGCTCATGCACTTCTCTGCAGTCAGACTAATCTAGCTATGCACCCCTGTCTCCTATCCCCCGCCCCGAACTTCACCAGCCCCACCATGACCGTGGGCTCAGGGTTGGCCCAAGGAGCGAAAATGGCAGGGAGAGACTGGGACAGCTGGAATGGGGATGGGGGTGAGGGTGGAGGTGGGTTGTTCTTGTCCCTGCGGTGCCTGGCGTTTTACGAAGCGGAAAGGTAACATCTGCTTTCCAGCGCACAGCAGCAGCGGGAACAGGCTCGGCTGTGACCTTCAGACTGCAGGGTCATAAAGCTGAAAGCTTTGCCCTGAAATCCACCTTCAGCGCAAGGGTTGCTGCTGATTAGCGAGTTGCTGTCGGTTTCGTGCCTTGTCACCAGCACACGCCCGCTGCCTGTGACCTTAACCCGGGAGCCCGGCTGGTCCCAGGCTGGAGGTGGGGTGTTCGGCCATGTCGCTCCCCTGCACACACGGTGTCACTGCAGTAACTCCGGGGGTTCGTTCCCACCTAGTGTGGTCTCAGTTCAAGCCGGCGTGAGGCTGTGGATGCCAACACTTTGAGGTGAGAGCGGCCCAGTTCGATTGCTGGCCTGTCGACACAGCTACAGGCAGGGAGATTCCCAGCTCGGTTCGCGTGCCCACGCTGGTTCTCAGCCCATAGTGGGGCTGTGGAAGTGAAGGGGGCAGCATGGGGTAGACACTAGAGTCCAATCCAGCCCCGCCTTCAATGACATGCAGCGGTGTTTCCCAAAGTGTGGTCTGCGGCCCAGTACCGGTCCCTAGAGAAAAAATACCGGTCCTTAGAAAAATTATCGCGCACGATCCTATTAATTTGTGTGACAGGGTAGCAGCACCCTGCGCTGCCGAGCACGGCGGCGTGGCCCTCTTGGGAGAAAGCCCGCCACCGCGGCATCTCTGCCAGGCATGCTCCTGGGGGCGTGGCTAGATCCGGCGGGCGGTAGGACCCAGGGAGAAGGCCTGGCGCCAGACAAAGCCAGGGAGCTGGTGCTGGCTGATAAAGCAGCCTGGATTGGGGCCAGAAGGTGGGGGAGCAGAATAACCCGCTGGACAGGTAGGGCCAGTGATGTGGGAGCAGAATAACCCGCTGGACAGGTAGGGCCAGTGACAATTTATTTGCATATTCATCATTTGCATAATGAATATTCATGTATGCAAATAAATGTTGCCGGACCTCCAAAAGCTTGTGAATAGGTTTATTGGTCCCCAGTTTCAAAAAGGATTGGGAACCACTGACAGGCGGTATTGGCAGCACCCGGGTTCAAGTTTTTGTCTTTTGTGTTTCCCTCTCTACTTTCCCCCTCTCTGCTACTTCATACCCGCGGCTCCCATTCCCTGCCCATGCTGTTCTGCTGTCTTCTTCCCTTATCTTTCTGCAGCTCCTCCCTCCACCCCCATCTCTACTTTCTCTTCACCTCACCCTGCACCTGTGCAGCTGATAGGAGGTGGGGTGTGGGCCTCCGGCTCCCAGCAGAACCATTCCAGGTGCAGAGAGAACAGAAGTCCAAAGAGCTCCCGGCAGCCATGGCCGCAGCGACTCCTGCACGGGAAATCCAAGAGGAATCCAAATGTCCCATCTGCCAGGACTCTCTCACAGCCCCGGTGAGGATAAACTGTGGGCACAGCTTCTGCCGAGGCTGCATCACTCGGCACCGTGAGACACAGGGAGAGCCGGGCTCTGACCCCCTGAGCTGCCCCAGCTGCAGAACCCAAATCCAGAAAGGGGCCCTCCGGAGCAACCAACAGCTCACAAATATCGTGGAAAAACTCAGGCAACTGAATGTCAGCCCAGGCAAAGAGGATCTGTGCGGGAGACACGGCAAAGCCCTGGATCTGTTCTGCAGAGAGGACTGGGAGGCCGTGTGTGCGGTTTGCTGGAAGTCCCCCGAGCACAAATCTCACACGGCGCTGTCCCTGGACGAGGCTGCCCAGACACACAAGGTAGGACCCACGCTGGATGCGGGGTAGTTCCACCCTTCCCTTTTCAGACTCAGTCTCTCTGAGCCCCAGAATCTCCCTGTTTCCTAGATTTTCTCCCCGGATCTCTCGACCCTCCTAAAGCTCTGCCCGGCAGGCTTCTGTCTCAGCCACTTCTGGGGCAGAAGCTGAGAACCCACAAGAGAGCTCAAAACCCTTGCCTCTGTAGCCACCAGTTACCAAAAACTTCCCCTTAAAATCACAGTTCACAGGGTTGGAGGTTGCTGCCACCATCCAGAAATGTTTATCCAGCCCCAGTATCACCACCGACTCTCAGCTGGTACCAGCTCTAGCAAAGGTGGAGGCAGCAGTTGAAGGGTGGGGCAGGGAACTTGAACCCCTAGTTTGGGAAGTTGTCACATTATCCATTAGTTCACTGGCGGGCGTACCTCAGACTCTTGTCTTCAAATGGATTCTCAAATGTTCTCTATGCGGGTGTATCTCTTCGGCTGTGTCTAGACTGCAGGCTTCCTTTGGAAGAAGCTTTTCCGGAAGAGATTTGCCTGAAAAACTTTTTTTTTCAAAAGAGAGCGTCTACACAGCAAAAGTGTGTTGAAAAAGCAATGTGCTTTTTCGAAAGATAGCGTCCACATTCATGGGACGCTATCTCGCATTTCAGCGGTGATGACTGTGGACGGAGTAGCCACCAGGGCACCTGTGCTTTTTCCTGGAGGCCTCTTCTTTCGAAAAAACACTCTCTTTCGTGTCCACACACACTAAAAGCCTTTTCAGAAAAGGGCTTCTTCCTCATAGAAAGAGGTTTACCAATGTCAGAAAAACCCCTCCGTTCTTTCGACTTTCTGTCCAAAGAACGCAATAGCAGTGTGGACATAAGTTTAGTGTTTTGGAAAAACTCTGCTGTGTAGACATGCCCTTCAGGTCCAGGAAAGCGTCTGTTCCTGAGCTCAGAGTTCAGCTCCTTTACCAACAGGGACTGGGCCTATAGAAGATATTGCATCCCACACTAAGTCTGTCTGGGAAGACTGACGATTGTCTTGGAGTCTGGGTGGGAAAACGCCCCCTACAGGTGTTCTAGACTACAGGTGTTCTAGACTACAGGGTGTGTCTAGACTACAGGGTTTGTTGACAAAAGTGGACTTTTGTCAACAAAACTATACCTGCATCTACACTATCGCCGAGTTCCGTCGACATAACGTTGACAGAACACGGCAGTTTTGTCAATAGCGGTAAACCTCATTCTACGAGGAATAACGCCTTTTGTCAACAGAGTTCTGTCGACAGAGGGCGTTATTGCATCTACAATGTCCTTTGCGTCTACATTGTCATGTCGACAAAGTGGCTTGCTTTATCTACAGAACTGGATGTAGTCTAGATGCTATTTGTTGAAAAAAGCTTGGTCAACGGTATCTGTCGACAAAGCCTCTGTCGACAAAAGCCTGTAGTCTAGACGTACCCTTAGAGAGTAACACAAATATAGAGGATCATGACCTTTCCTGGGTAAGACCCCCTGAAACTCCCCTACAGTCATCAACATAAAACCACCAACTCATTTCTGTTTTATAGGAAAAACTCCAGGCCCATCTGGAGACTCTGAGGGAACAGAGAGAGAAGCTTCTGGGATTGAAGATGACCCGTGAGAAGAGATGCCAGGCGGGTCTGGTAGGTGCCTGTTGTTCTTTATCTGCTGGGGAGATGGAGCTGGGAGGGTTGTTTATTGTCAGCTTGCTCTGTGGCCTTGGCGAATGTGGGTATGGGCGTAATTCTCCATTTTCATGGGATAGTATGTGTGCGCACAATTAAAACTTCAGCCTTCAACATCCCTCTAGTCTTATTACCATAGACACAACTCTATTTCCGAAACTCCATTTCCTTCCTTACTAAACACACTAAACTTTAAAATTAAAGGGCTTAATAAAGGGCTTAATTTAATAAAATGATAACATGTTATCTGACGTATTATTAAACCTACTTTCTAGCTCCCCTTCCCTCCAGGGAACATGGTTCCCCACCTTGGGCACTTAGTGCGGATTCTTGCCTCATCCATCTGTGATGCCTGCAGAGAAGTTGTGACGTTGTGGGGTCTGTGTTCACTCTGTTGCCTTGTGGTGCTGTATGTGATTCTACTGTCCTGTGCTGTTCTGTAATAACTCTCTGTGTGTATGTGCCTCAGTTTCCCTGGGCTCTGCAACACGGCTTGGCTGAGGAAGGGAAAGGCTGGACATGACTCACTGTGGAGGTAAATGCATCTCTCCTGTCTTGAGTCTTGTGTCCTAAGGACCAGGGGACTGCACCTTTGGCCAGGAAGGGAAACAAAGGGGAGTGGTGCTGGTTTGTGACTATGGCCTGGGGAGAAGGGTCATCTCGGCTGGGTTAGGATGAGGGAGGGGGATAGACCAGGAAGGTGGGAGCCGGGCCCAGAGCCCTTTTCCCAGAGCGGAACGGTCCTGCCTGCTCCTGGTCCCTGTGTTAACAAGGATCCCGCGCTGCGCTGTGTCCTGTGAACCGATAAACCTTCAGTTCTACTTGCCGGTGAGAGTCGTGTCTGGCTGCGGATCGGGGTGCAGGTCGGTGACTCCCCCACAGCCCGTGACAGAAGCAAAGAGCCAGGATGGGAGAGATGGGGCCTCCTGTCTCCTTTCCCCAGCCAGAGTTAACAGGGCTCCCCCCCTCCCCTTTGAGCTTCTGCGGAGGTAAGTGAAGGTGCCCGGCTGCAGGGTTTGTGCTGGGGCTTGAGGCTTAAACCTGAGCTGTCTGCTCAGTGGCAACCCCCGCAGGCCCTTCCATAGCCCGGCCGGCAGAGCGAGGGCTGTAGCGGGTGCTCAGCTAGTGACTGTCGGTGGCTGGCTGGACTCTGGCTCCAAGGGGAGCGTCTCCTCCCTCCCCTAGCTGGGCAGAGCGAGAGGAGAGAGGAAGGGCTCGGGGGGCTCCAGCCCGCAACCAGCCG